CTTCCATCCCTCTCTCGGCCCCTTCCAGCCCTTCCATCCCCCTTACAGCCCTTCCATCCCTCTCCCCTTCCATCCCTCTCTCGGCCCCTTCCATCCCTCTCCCGGCACCTTCCAGCCCTTCCATCCCCTTCCACCCGGGACGGGTGACCAAACTCTGATTGTCACATAGCTCCTCCCAAGGACAAAGCAAGCACCGATTGCTCTCACGCCCACCCAGACCCACCGGAGCATGTTCTGCTCCGGGGTGCGCAGGGAGGTCCTTGGAATGGGCAGGGAAAGGGCTGTAAGGGAGTGCTCTGGTACTCTGAAAAACTGCTCAGACAACACAGGTTCAGGATTCCAAATACATTCTTAAAGTTTTATTCTCCCAGCAGGAAAGCAATGGGTTAAAACCCTAGTAGCAAAACCAGACCAAAAGTAAGTCTCACACTTCCAGAAACAAACATGTGCATTTGCATGTCAGGTTTGGGTGCTGAACTCCACGTCCCTACATGGAAGTGCAAACGAGCAAGGAGCAATCTGGCAGGGAGAGCAACTGCTGCATGTGTCACCACAGCAAAGTGTGCAAGGAACAACTCGAGTGTTCAGGTATTGGCAATGCTGAGCAAACATGGGCTGTGGAGAACAACTGCAGTGACCCTCCTGGATCCTGAAATGGTGTAGGCAGAGGAGAAAAATCACCTTAACTAATGGACAGCTTAGGGGAGGCTGTTTGGCACTTCCCAGCTGAGGCTGCTTCTAACCCTGTCCCTGGGTTAGATCTTGTAGGCTCTTCTTCCTCATGAACATGTTGCTTTTGCTTCCACTAAAGCTGGAAAATTCCACTGGTGAATTCTGGAGTGTTAGGGACACTTCATGAACTAGGCAAAACAAAAGCTGCTCTTTCCTAAGATTTGAAGCCAAAGTACCAGCAAGGAGCAAGTGCCAATTACAGAAACCCAACTGCAACTGACTGTAGCCAAAGAAAAGAAACCACAATTTCAGTTCTGTAGTGTCACAGTCCCTCACTCCCCCAAACCACACTGTGATCAGTAATGTCAATTAGCTCCCTCAGTATCAACCAAAAGAATCCCACTAAACAGAAATCAAGAACTTCTTATGTGGCAAAGCCACATTTTCAGAGGTGCTTCCTTGTGTGTGCAACATCTGCTCTCATCAGGGTGTGCATCTTCTCTGGGTTCACAATGTGCAAACCCTATGAAGTATAACTTACTCCAGTCACATTCCCTTAGTAGTGCTGAAACAAATTCACAGTAGGAACTGTCGAGACTCTTCATGCTGTGAATGGATATGTGTACACAAAGCCGAGGTAAAGTGCAATCTGCTGTTGTGCCGAGCGCCCCGCGGCCTCGGCGGGATGGGATGGGGAGAAGCCCCACATTACACAGTGCCAGCATCTCGTGGCAGGTGGCTCTGCTGGCCAATAGGCTGCACGGAACAGGAGGCTCTTCCCTCAGGCCACACCTGGGGGTCTCCCTCTCTGCACAGTAACCCCAGCACAGCAGAGCTGTGGATTTTATCTGACACAGAGCACAGGACATGGCTGAAATCAGTTCATCCTCAGCTCTCCAGCTTCTGTGCAGTCAGACCCTGGATGCTAAGCCCTCTGAGTGAGGCTCCAAGGACAGCCTTGCTGCGCTCCTGCGCTGCTACAGCAGCTCCTGCTCGTCATCCTCGGAGCCCGAGGGGCCCTGCCGAACCTCCTCGTACCACTTGTTGGTGAGGGTTTTCATCTGGATGCGTCCGTGGTGCAGGTCCTGAGGCAAACCAGAGCACTTTGTTACTTGGCTGCAACACTGCTTGGGAGCTAGAGCAAAACAGAAGGACTAGTCTGATGTATTCCTGAGGAAATAACCCACTCCTGGGCTCCAGTCATGCAAAGCAACTCTGTGTCCTACCAGAAAATATTTACCCAGTGCTCAGTCAGTCATTACTGCCACAAAGGAGAGGTTTGAGGATGGGTGTTGTTACCTGTTTTCTAGACAATCCTGCTGTGTGTTTGAACAACCCTACTGCTGTCTGCAGGGCCTGGCCCTGACTGCCCTGCTCGTGTTCCCAGGGACACTGGGAAGCTCGTGGCCTGCTCTGGTGATGTTTCCAGCCTTTGGGTGCAGGCTGGATGGCAGCCTGTGCTTTTGGCTACCAACTACAGAGCAGATACTCACTCTGGTTTCTTGATTCCTTGTTGGTTTTGTAGAAAATGCCTTCAGTTTTTGTGGGAAAGTGCTGAAAGGGCATTTTTGAACAGGAAGGGACAAAACAAGAGGAAAAAGAGTACTTCTGAGCGGGCTAGGAGGATGAAATGTGCACACTCAGACAATTACCAACTCCACAGCCAAAATGCCTAACTCTGTGGCAAACTGGAGAAACAGTGAATCGTGTGGCTAAGGAGCCTTAGGTTCCTGAGGCATGGGAGTGCAAATGGAACAGTATTTACACCTCTGGGAGCCACTCAGTGTTAAGTTACACACTCAGCCAGGTCCTGTTTTGCATTTACAACCCCAAGGCCTTGGTCTCCCAGTGAACTAGTCTGAAAAGTGAAGGTTGCAATGCTGGTGCCTATTTCCATGACAGAAACTGCACTGCAGGAACATCAACAGCTCCACAAGTCACAGGACTGTCAACAGTAAGAGGCAGGACTGACAGCTCTGTGAAGACTCTGCCCCAGTGGCAGCAGCTTTTTCCAGCAGCAGCAGTAACCAGCTCCTCCTGATTCCCTTTGTGGTTCTCCACATGACTGAAGGTGAGCTCAACAAATCCCTGCACCAAGTTTAACTGGGGAAGCCCCGAGATGCTCACACTTAATCCAACCTGCACTTTAAGGTGCATCACAGCTGCTCTGTATATGCATGAGCAATCCAGAGATGTCTCCTGTCCTTGATGCACAAGTTCCATGGCTGCACTGTGAGCCCTGTGTGGTACTGGAGGAAGCAACCACCTCTAGCAGATTATTTCTGCATGAAAATGATAGAGACTTACTTCTTGTGTGAGTCTTCTGGTGAAGAAAGGATTCAAGTACTTGGCATCAAGCCACATGAAGCCTTTGAGGTCCTGGCGTTTTATGTACTGGGCTTCATACTCCTCCTCTGTGAGCTCCGATAAATGTTCAGACTCTATGGTGTTTCCCTAGAGAAATCACAAACATTGGAACAGCCTGAGAGAACTGGGAGTCATCACACTGCACTGTCTATTTTCTTGTGTGTATGGCTCAATCCTCTGTCATCTGCTTTATGCTTTTGCAGGGCTCACTTTAACTTGCATGGATCAATCTGTAATTGGATTGAGTCAAGAGACTATTTCTCCTCCCTCTGCCCAAACAGTTATTGTGTGTACACGCTAACCAAACTGTCTTTAGGATATTTAAAATCCTATTGCTTGACTTTGTCCTATCACTTTGGCTTTTTCCAATGCTTTCATTTTACTTCTCAGTAGTCCTGAAAAGTGTTTGAGCTAGGTGAAAAAAACCACCAAACCTCAGAGATCCTCTGAAAAAAACAACCCAACAAACCATCTTCTCTGTCTTGCTAAGGTTGATGTCCTTCTTGTTCCTCTTGCGTGCTTTGGAGTCCTCGATGTCGATGAGCCTGATGAGGGGCATTGTCCCTCCCCCCAGCAGCAGAATGGTGAAGAGAACGATGATGATCGTCGTTGTCCCGATCAGCTGACGCTTCTCGATGGGCTCCAAGCCCAAGTGGAGGCTCAGGGCATAGGGAATGGCACCACGTAAACCTGAGCAGAGGGAACAGTGAGCTGACAGTGTGAGCCAACAGGAACACTGGCCCTGAGAACTCCCCAGGAATTCCCCATCTTTCAAAGGGGTTTTATGACCCTATGGCACGTCCGTTTATCTACCACTTGGTTACCACCCTGAAACAAGTCTGAGCACTTCAATCCTGTTGTGCAAACTGGGAAGCTGCTAGGCCTGGACAGACAAGCAGCCTCTTTGATGAAGAGCTTTAGTGTGCTCACCTCTGCACAGCCCTCCTGCACCCAGGGGCAGAGCATGTTTCTGTTCACTGGGCTTTGAAAAGAGGGCAACTGCTCAGCTGAGTAGATAAACCAGGTCCACCCAAAGTGGCCCAAACAATGAAAAAGATAAAACATCTTTTCCGGCTCTCTGTATTTTTGAGCTTTAACTTACCACTAAACCACATAATAAACATCATCTTGGGGGTGATTTTATGATCACGGAAGAAGTTGAGCAGATAGGAGAGTGGAAAAATATTCACTGCTCTACCAAACAGAACCAGCACCTGCAACAGAAACAAAAGGAAAGGACCATTGGATGTGTGAGACCATGAGGCCCCAGCTGCAGCTCCCTACAGGGCAGGGCAGTGTGCTCTCTGCTCTCAGCTGTGAGGATGCTTAGCAAACATGAAGAACCTCTCAGTGTTTGGCACTGTGGAATTTCACTCGTGAAACACTCTGTCTGCTCAACTGAACCAGAACCAGAGTTGTCACTGATGGAGACCAGGCTCACAGGGAACAAATGGAACCCCAGAGACATTCCAGGGAGACCAAGAATGGCTTGGGGTAAAAGTTCTCCTTGTTCAGCTCCTTTCATCAACCCCTTGGCACAGCAGCTAGGGAGAAATAAGATACTTCTATTGTCTCCCCATGGACCAGTTGCTCAGAGAGCAAGGCCAGAAGCCAAAGAGCACATAACTGGTTTCCCAACACTTTCCTGACATGGTTATAAAACATACCACGCACTGAAGCAACGTTTAGAGAGGAGGAAAGAAAAAAAAGTACTATTGTTTCAATGGCAAATAGTTAACAAGCGGAGTGAACACCTGAACTCAGAACAGGCAAGATTTTCTCAGCACACTGGAGTTTATCCACCACAAAGAGACCTTGCTAAGGTAAATATCCCAGGATTAGTCAGCAGGATCCTTGCAGGGCTGTGCTGTTTTCCTTCCTGAATCACCCCAAAATTACACAGTTTGCATTATGCCTGAGGGCAAAGCTGCACAGGAGGAAGTGTCACACCTTAGATACACAGCAGATAGGGCAGCTAGGTGCAATGCAGTGAGAGCAGCTCCCTGAGAGCTGCAGGCAGCAATTCCTCCCCTGCACCATGCACTCCAGGGGGAACTGAGGGCTGTTTTCTGGGAAAATAACCAGAATGGTTATGGATAACAATCTCCACAGCTTCTGGGACTTCTCTGAGTTAATGAGTCTAAGAGGGTCTAACCCAGCAAGGTTCTCTTCCTTGTTTTCAGTAATCTTACACAGAAGTGCTCTGAAATGACAGTCAAGGGGAGTTCCCTAGCAACTGACGTATGTGTGCACCAAAGGGATGAGAACAATTCATGCTATTAGGGGGAGTCAACAACATACACCAATATGAAAGTGTTTTCATAAAAACCTATGAAACCTAATTAATGCAACTGTAAGGTGTTTTCCCCTTCCCCAATACAAAAAGTGCATGCAAAACAGTAGGGAAGAAAGTAAATACCTACTATGCACCAGATGACAAAGGACATTTCAAACTTGTGAGGGAAACTAAAAATGGACAGGCCAAGAAATGCGAACACACAGGTTTCTGAAAAAGAGAAATCACATCTTAGACAATTCTGCCAAACCTCTCCTCCTGCTGTTACAGACCTCTGCTTACAGCACAGAGTGGCTGACCCTGAAGGCCAAAGTAGGCCCAAACACTGTGGTGCCAAGGGCCAGACTGCCCTACCCTCGCTGGCAGAGGACAGCACTCAGCCCTGTGCACAGCCTTTTTCCAGCTGCGAAGCGTGTGCTGCAGGCTGAACACTACCATCAAGTACTCAATTAATTACATTCTTATAACCAGCAGCAGGTCATGACTCTCTTTGTAATAAAATACTGCCCTGGAGGATCATGTACTCCAGTAACCTCCAGGAGTGATGCTTGCAGACCCGAAGTGGTACCAGCACTGCACAGTGACTGCAGCACCCCAATGCTGTCTGTGCACAACCAGCCCAGCAGAGCACTCAGAGCCAGTGTCTGCTCACTGCTGCCCTAGCCAGGCTCCTCATACAGCAGCAGCTCAGCCAGGATGGTTTGGGGCAGACAGGGGCAATGGCTGAGTTACTGCAGCACAAGGCATGGCTGGGTCATGCTTTGGGCACTGGTTACTTACATTGCCACATGCCAAAACTGCTGCAAACATCTGTGAAATTGCACTGTCATAAATAACTCCTTTACAGCAACTGCTTGAAGGCTTTTATAGCTTTTGCAATAGATTAAGACCAAACCCTGATGAGCTACTGGTGCTCTGGTAAGGAATGGTCAAGTTCAGTTTGCAGCAAAGTCACTCCCTGACTGTGTTCAAACTGCATGGAATTCATGCACAGCATCCCCTAGAAACCAGGGCTATGTTTGCATGAAGGATCTCGTTTCTTTAAAGGTTTGGCTTGTAACAGGAACTGGAAGGGCTCAGGACTCTAAGCTGCTTGTATTACTACTCCCAGAAACTTCACTTGTGAAGCTATTGTTTTTGCAAGTAGCTTTTGTATACAAAGCCATTCAAAAAGTATCACCCCACCCTCATCTCCTAGAACTAAAAATAGAGCAGAGGAATAGAGGAGTCAGAGATCTCTGGTCATCAATCTTGTGGCAAATCTTAGCAGGAGCCTGCAGGACTGGAAAGAGAGATTTACTGTCTGTTTTAAGCAGCGTGGCAGGAAAGGTGACTTTGAGTGCCTTCCAGCCCTCTCCACCAGGAGCTGTTCTCTTAAAGCCAAGCACACTGACACACAATGGCTGGAGGCAAACTCACACCCCTGCTGCTCCCAGCAGAACCACCATTTCAGGCAAATACAGCTTTAGACTCTATGCTGGTATGAACAGCAGGAGCACCTACCACACATGAAAGCAACAGTTCTCAGGGTCTGCTGCATCAGAATCTGTGTCACTGGGGACAGGTTATGGTGTGTGTAGTGAGACATCACGATGCCAGAGAAGAGGATTGCCATGATACCTGTAGGAAGGAATGTGTCAGTCAACACAAGAAGAATAGTCTGCATTCTGCAAATATTTGCTGCTGAGACCCTCCAGCAGCAACTCCTCACCAGGCAAAACTTGTTTCTATAGCAATACACCTTCTAACATACCAAACTGCTCGGTCAGGTTTCCCCCAATCTCCTTCCCTTCCCTGTGTGTGGCCTTTGGACACACAGAGTAGCTCTGGGTGCAGGTGGGCAGAATGGAATGTTTGCACTAGGATTATGCATCTTCATTGTGTAACTCCCAGGATTACAGGCCACATCTTCACACATGCAGCAGATCCAGCCCCACTGATGGGTGAAGGCAAGTGAGCAGTGAGCACACCCTGCTGCAGATCCCTTCCAGCTCAGACACCAGCAGAACTGCATTAACTGTGGCACCCCTTCCCACCTCCCTTTGGGCAATGAGACAGGAAGATCCTGGCATTAAAACCTCTCCTGAAATCAGCACAGGTCAGAGACTTTGGGCATCCAGCAGAAATGGACCTGCCTCTGTCCTTGTTCCTGGGAAGTGCTGGGAGAGGTTCACCTGTAAGATGCTTCTCATGGCCTTCAGCAGAGCCTCTGCCCAGAATTCAGGGACACACAGCACTCCACGGGCTCAGCTGTTTCCCCAAGGACTAAGGACAGGCTGAAAACACTCCAGGGCAGCAGGCTGAGCATGAGCTAAGTTTGCTGAGGTGGCTGAGACCTACAGCATGCAGCTGAGATTTTAACTGTGTGTTGGGCAGAGGTGGCTGGGGACAGAAACAGCATTTACACTGGGTAACTAATCCTGACAAAACTGCAATTACCTTCTTTATCTTCTGTAACATGAAATAGAGAATAAACATTTCTTTAAAGTCAAACTTAAGAGAGTAGGTTAAGTGAGAGAACAGCTGAAAAACAGGAGCCCCCTGAGACACAAACAATCCCTACTCCCTGTGCTTATCAAAGAAACTTGCACACACTCATTTACCACTCACCCGAGAGTGAGATCCCTTCTGCAAGTCCATAAGGAAGGTAAGCAAAGATGATCATCATCCCAAACTCTAGGGAAGGTGTCTTCCTTAAATCAATATGCTTCAGCACGTGCACATGGAAACGTTATGGAAAAGGTACATTGAAAGAAATCATATTTTGACCTGTCATTCCAGTCCAAAACAGTGGTTATGCTTAAGGTGCTTCTCTGCTGAATAGCCATTAAACTCTACACACTGGCCTTCAGCTCCAGTGTGGAAGTTTCTCATGAGGAATGTTTCTTACAGAAGCTGGTGCTGGTGAAGTGTGTGAGGACAGGAAGAGCCAGGGACAGAAGAGATCTGCTACTGATGTGCCTCTACAGTACTGATAACAACAGGTAAGTCAAATACCTGAGCACAAATAACTGTGAAAGAGGAAATAAGCTGCTTTTCTCCTTGTCTAAATGCAGTTCAGGTATCAGTGAAAGAAGTGCTGAGCACCTGCCTCCCTCTTTTGCTGTGATGTATGGAGTAACTTAAAGGTCCATCGAATCAGGCTGATGAACCAAGAGGGAAAATACATCAGTATTTAATCAAACACTGTTTTGTTGCTTGCTAAGAGCTCAGCGGTAGGTCCCAGCTGAGATGGGTAACTTGGACAAGCCCAGATCACCCACAGTGAAGTCAGGGCTAACAGTAAACAAGCCCTGAAAGGTAGCAAAGGTGTCTGGGCTGCAGCAAACAACCTTTTCATCTCGGCAGAGAAGCTTCTGGGTTGTTTAGCAACCAGGTCATGGAAGTGGAAGAGGCAAAACACAACCCAAGGTAAATCCAAGCAGAGCAGAGTCTGCACTCAGCTGCCTGCACGTGATCCACAGGGACAAATGAGCTGGGCTGACTCAAGGCCCTGGGGAAAAGCAGCTTTTTCCCTTTTTAATTAACTGGTTTATGTATGTAAAAAAGGAGCCATATGCTTGTAAAGATGGATTGGTATTGAAATGGAATTAATATCTTTTGAATTTACAAAACCATTACCATCTCTTGTAACACTCCAGTGCACATAAGCTATTACACAGCATTTCAGGCCTTAATTATGTTCATAAAAATTTGATGTGACTTTTTAATACACATCCATGAACACTAACATAAAAACAAAATGAGCATGAGAATCCTCAGCCAACAAAATAATGGCTGAAAAGAAACATCCCCTCAGAAATGCTGAAGAAAACAGGGAAAACATTCCTACTAGAATGCTGAAGTTCACCAATGTATACACATGTATCACCACAATTAATAAAGGATATCACTGCAGAAATCAGACCAGTCAGTGTGCCAAGTGCTGCAGAGCCAAAGAACATCTTCAGGAAGTATCCCAGTGCCTGCAGAAAGGTTTGCCATCCACTTACATCTGACATATTCTCCCTTGTCAAGCCTTCTGCTGTGCTAGGTACAATTAAAAGAGAAATAAAAGGGAATGGTTACACATTCCAAGCCTGGATCCAAAAATATCAAACATCTTTTGAGCACAACAACAAAAAAGACTCCCATTTCTTTGTTGCTACCACTCTTAAAAGGCTTTTACTGTGATATATATAACCAGAGGAATGTCAAAAGATGTTAAATCAAGCCTCAGTGTAATCCCCAAAGGGAAACCCAGTTCTGCTACAAACCCAGCACTGCTGCTCTGAAGAATCCCAGGGTGGCGTAAATAGGCTATGGTGATGCCCAGTGTTTCAAAACAATCTTCAGGATGGGAAAGGGAAAAGAAAACACATTTTGCAGTGGGAGAAACTCCTGTGACCCTCCGAGAAGAGCAACTGAACAGGAAGAACTCTCATCAAATATTTAGGTGTGGACAACAGACAGGAAGGTCACTGAAGGAATACAGAGCAGATCTGAGGAGGAAAGGGGAGAAACCCCTTTGAATTTCAGGGATGTTTTCCATGGAAGGTCCATGCAAAGAAGACATGGATTCTAGCCAGTGTTCCCTTGGGCTGCTGTTAGCCTGCAGGGTCTTCCATCAAAGCACCACAGCTGTAGCAAGAGCAGTTAGTCCACTGGAAAATGACTTTGACTTCACTACCTCCTGAGTGTATCTGCTGCTTCTGCACAGCCACAGCCATATCTACTAACTTCAGCAGCAGCAGGACATGGCCATTTTTCACTCCTTCAGCCCCCAAGAATTACCATGGGCAAAGGATAAGGGCACTGGATGTTCTCTCCTGTGCTGGCCCCAGCATGGACACACAAGCACCGCGTGGCTGTGGCTGTCCCCCCCACTGGCCCACGGACACAGCCCTGGCTCTGGCAAGGTGAATGTGTCTGTGCAAGCCTGGAAGGTCACAAAATGCTTTGCTGCTGTCAGGACCCTCAGATGGAAACAAAGCTAATAAATGAATGGAATTAGAGAGCAATCAATATCTGGGGTCAATGAGCTGAGGCACTGAGGTAGTGGTAACAAGCAGCCACTCACCTCTGCCTATGCAGTTCAGGTTAAGGATTGCTTTTCCCAGAGAAGGGCCACACAGAATTCAGCTTCACACCAGAAATACATGATTTGTGCCAAATGGAGAAGGAACAATTGCTGTATAGCTGAGTGACTAACCAGCAGAACACACTGTAGTTCTGTTTCCACAACCGAGTGTAGTTCCAAAGCACTTACTTGGTGAGGACAATGGAGACTGCATCGTTGAGAATGCTTTCCCCAAAAACCAACATGTTAAGCACAGGGTCCACGTTGAGGGCATTGAAAATGGCAATAGTAGCCACAGGGTCAACTGCAGATATTAAAGAGCCGAATGCAAAACTGGGAGAACACAAAACAGAAGAGGAAACTAAGTGAAGAAAAAAAACATACCTGTAACTGACATGAACAGGTTACAAAGCCCTTTTGTACACCAGTTCCTATCCAGTGATAAGGTATTGCTCTCTTTCCATTCCTAAGAACTTGCTCCTTTGTTCCTGAAAAATCTACATTATTGACACTGAAAATCTCATTCTGCCTTTTAAGAGAAAATCTGGACAAGGAAGTTATGCCCTTAGCATATATACTAATAATACTAACTAATCAAAGTTTACATATCTCAAACCTCTAAAGTCTGGCTAAAGTAGTATTTGTCTAGCAAAACCCCTGAGCATGGAACAGAACAGAACACTGTTTGGAAATAAGGGAGTAATAAATAGGGCACAGAAGAGTGATCTGTTTATTAGTCTCACACAGCCTATTGGCTCTGAGCAATCTGAACACTAACCAGGAGAGCATTTCCCATCCACAGTTACCCTGCAGAAAGCTTCATTTCATGTACTGCACCATCCCCCAAGAGCTTACCTGTCTGTCATGTTGAGTTTATAAATTACATCAGCCTGAAAGAACAGGTAAAACATAAAAATCACAATCAACTGTGGGTTTATGCTGTTTTTAAAAACTAAACTATTCATCACACCCCAAGCTCATCAAAATAAAAATTCACAATGGTGACATGACCCAGTTTAACTCTGCCCTCCACAAGTGATCCACAACTCTGGTCACCCAAGCCCAGGGAAGACCAGATGGAAGTGCAGCAGATTCAGGTGGGGAGAGTAACTGAGGCAAAGAGGGAAGCACAGAATGCTTGGCCTACCAGAATGAAGTCTGAGAGAAAAGGGAATTACCTATGTCTGTATCTAATCAATGGGAAACATCAAACCACAGACGCAAACAAAAATCACTGAGAGAAAAACAAGTAAGTTTAATATTGGGAAGTGGAAGATGGCTCTAGAGGATGTAAGGTTTGGAACAGCCTTTGACAGGGAGACTGTGTAAGCTGGAAAAACCTAAAACTCCAATCTTAACTGCTTTTCCCATCAGGCTGGGACAGACCACTGGAGGTCACCTCGTCCTGCCTCCCTGCTCTGCAGAGTCCCCTGGGACATGTTACTCAGGGCTGTGTCCAGGACAGCATTTGGGTATCTCCAGGGAAGGAGACTCCAAGCCTCCCTGGCAACACCCATGGAAGGGGCTGTCTAACACTGCCTTTGTGAGAGCAGAGAACTGCACTGTGACCCACTCACCCTGCTCTTGAAAAATGGACTTGCAAACAACAATCCAGATAAACCTAAGTGCTTCAAAGCAGTAAATCTTACCTGACCCAGGAAATAGATTCCTCCACCTACGATGAAAGCTGATATTGCAGTGCCAAACACAGAGAACAGTGTGATGGAACCAATGTTCTGAAAGAAATTACCCTGGAACACAGTAATACAAGAAGTAAATTGGTGAAAATGACCCGAGGGAAAACTCATGTTCGGGCTTGCATCTAAATTAGATTCTGATTCCCAACTGGGTTTCTGACAATAAAGGTTCACTAGTTTGGTTCCAGGTAGCCCAGGACACACAGCCACACCATCTGCTGCTCTCCTGAGGACAACAGCAACTCCCTCAGACTCCCAGGACAGGATGTCAACAACCCAGTGCTCAGGACATCCACCAGCACTTTGACATGCTCCCCACCTGACAGAAGTGTAAGTTAACCCCTCTACTGGAGACAGAGCATGTGGAAAAGACTAGTGCCCTTCCCAGCTACTCGTCCATTCCTTGAGATTCCATATGAAAAGCTCTTCAGTGTTGGCACCAGTTCCTGGTACCACCTGGGCCGCTGCTCCCTCCCTGTCCTGCAGCACAGCTCCAGCAGAAAGGCAGCACACAGGGAGGACCAAACCCCCTCAGCCAGGACTCATCTGTGGGAAACATCCATGGACACACAGGCTCCCAGGCAAGGGCTGAGAACCCTGGTCAACATTTCCCTCTTTAGCTGACCCCACCTTTCCACTTCTGGTCCCACTCCTTCTCATTCTGCCTCCTCCACACCAGCCCTGGTGCAGTTCTGATGAGGTAAGAAAGCTCTCCAGCCACAGCAAACCACGTCCATGCTGTGCCCAGCACCTTGCCAGCAGTTAGCTGTCAGTAATGAGCTATGTTCCCTGCACTCTGGCTTGAAGAGGCTTAAATTTTGCACTCTCAATTCCCTAATGATTAATATAATGGAATTTAATGCAATTATCCCAAACTCCATGAAGATAACTAAAAGCACAGTGCGTTCCAAACAAAAGTGAAGTGAGTGCCTGGCAGGGCCTGACCTTGTGCAATGAATATCCAGACTCAAATATAATAGGTGGAAGCAAAAGCAGAAAAAACATATTTGGGCGAAACATTTCTTCTTCCTGCAAAACAAAAATTAATTGGAATTTCAAGGATATCACCATTATTGAAATAACATAAAATCTTCCAAAAGGGAAATTACTAAAAGTGCTGAAAAATGAAAATGGCATTAATCTTTCTGCCTTGTTATCACAGAGTAAGAGTGAACAGCAAACTATTCCCAGACTGCTACTTCTATTGCTCTTTTCCACCCAGTGACAGAAGTCTCAGATTATGTGTTTTAAGTGACTGTCCCCAGATCAGCTGCACAGAAAACAGGTTATTTATGGCAAAGTTTCTTTTTCACAAAAAGTATTCCCACTTTATCTCAGTCTCAAAACCTGTACAGGCTGCTAAGGAACCTCTTGGCCACTGTTTGAACAGAACAGGTTAACTAGGGCCACAGAGAGTTTCACTAGAAAACTCAGCACGTGTCAAGAGGAAACCCACCCTGAGGTGAGAGGCTGTTTTCTGGTGAGCTCACTCTTTGTCACCTACCTCATCCCTTGGCTAAGGGAGCTGCACTCCCAGCCTGGCACCCTGGTTCTTCTGCTGGCAGACAGCACAGAAGGCAAATTAATCCTGGCCTGTATCTTCACCCACCTGCTCTCTCCCTCCTGGTCCCCCAGCACTGAACAGAGCAGAGCTTGTCACCTCTGCACGCACCAATTAAGTTGTTTAAATTCAGGTTAAAGAGCTGATGGACTGTTCTGTTCAAACCCCAATACAGAAGTACTCATCTCTTTAGAGTCTCATTCCTGCCTGTACCAGTGATAATCATCTTAAGGGATTTGGGGGACTTAGAAAACAAAACTCATCCTTCAGCGATGCTCCGGCCCATGGCTCTGCACGCAGTCTGTGTGCTGCTGGCTGACCCTGCTGGGCTGGGCCTGACCTGCACTGCTCAACAGCCCCTGAACCCAGAGCTAGGCAAGCAGAGGAGCAGTATGCAAAGGAAGGACTGCACTCGTGCTGCATGCAAGTGGAGACCAGGAAGGTAACACACGAGGATTGATTATCAGCTGTGCCAGCCAAGAACCACCAGCAAGAACCTGAACACTTAGTACAGAACCATTACTACAGTGAAAGTAACTCAAGTTAGCAAGTAATAACGTGGTATCTGTGACCCCTCACCTTGCCTGACACCCTGAGTGACTGGGCACAGCTCCCTCGTGCCTCAGAGACCTGACCAAGGCTTCCCAGAAGCTACCCCAAAGCTCAGCTGCTGTGATCAGCACCCTGTGTGGACACAGTGAGCTTGCTTTTGGCTTCCTATATACGACCTTACTCAGATGATTTTACTGAACCAATAAGAAACTACTTTGAAATGCTGATTTTGTGGCTGTTCGACCTTCAAGTCCAACCCAACAGACAAAATCAGCAGTGAAAAGGCACTGGCCAGTGCAGCCCCCACTGCTTCTCATAAGTAAATATGGGAAGTGAAATATCAAAACTGTTGAGTTATGTCACTATTTAACAAGTGTACACAGAATTAGTGTGGTTAGTTGACAGAAAAAAAGCTACATCACACTGAAAATCTATGCATTTCAATGTGTTTCTACCAAGGAGAAAAAGATCTTCCCTTAGGGCAATCACTGCCAAGAAACACAGAGCTGCAAGCTAGGATTAAAATTCACTACTCAGAGCAAGATTTTCAGCTTGCTGATATAAATCCTGTTTAGAACTGGCAAATCAAACCACTGATTTCAATCAGTTCTCTGATCTAATCCTAATAAACTGGTGCTATGAAACAAAATCACAGTTTAACTACTGCAAGATTTTAAATTAAAGCAGGAATAGTGAGAGATCATTGCTTGGATAATGTGGATAAACTGTAGGAGGCAAAATCTTTCCTTCACTGTAGACTTTGCCTCTCAGAGATCCTTTCTGCCAGGACTCTCCCTCTGAAAACCCTAATATTACAGTTGGTTTTGAAGCACCCAGGATTACTCTACAATTAGAAACAAGCTGTTTCAAATATACCTTCCAGTTGGCCAGCTTCTGAGCCTCGATGATCTTTATAAAAGCTCCCATGAGGATACCTAGGAGAGAACGAGAAAACAATCTGAAACAGCCACAAAACACACCACTGTTTATCAGCTCTCAACCAAGGCAAGGCATAAAGCAGCCAGTGTTTTGCTCCCAAATCACAAAAAAACAAAGTGGTTTGGGGTTCAATACCCAAACATTCAGTTTCCATAGCTCCAGAGTGTCCCTGCACAACAGACCCCTGGGATATCCCAACCCCGAGCACATACCGAGGGTGCAATGCTCACTGGGTCAGAAAGATAACAGGCTTAACTACTCAAAACCACTTCTCATCTAAGCTGCACTCAAGTAAAATTCTGCCTTTCTTGACAGAGAATCAGGAAGTTCTGAGTTAGGCATCTGTGGCTCATGCCCCTTGATGCTGTTGGTGGGGTTAAAGCAGCTTAAAGGGAACCAGGGTTCCCCATGGCAGTGCATTTCGTTCGAGTGAAATCACAGCACTTTCTGGCAGTGACCAGGAAACAAATCCTGATCAGGGTGGGGACACTGTCAGAACTACTTCCCAAAAGAATGATACATCTTTTAAGCCATGTAGAAATACTCATTTTAGTAAGAAAGAATTTTATCAAGGCTGCAGCAAACTCAGTGGTTAAAGCTCATTGTGGTCCTTCCTCCTATCCATCTTCAAACATGCAGGACATAAAGCTCTAACAAGATTTCTGCTGGAAGTCATGAAGCTAAGTCATGAACTGTCCTTAACTGTTCCCAAGCAGTTATGGGGAACGTGTCTCTAGCCAGAGTCCAGATCTGTGTTTCTGCACAGTTGTGTTTTACTGTTTACAGAATGGAGACTTCAGTCCAACCTGGGATACAGAAGTGAAATACACCACATGAAAGGTAAAAACTGGCTGAGAAGCTCTAAGTATGCTTTCCTGTAACCCATGGGCTTTTATTCTCTCATGCTGTAGCTAACAAAAGAGTCTTACAAATAGAATCACATGGATTACTGCTGATGGATGTGTCACACACACAAAGCCACAAGGCTTAAGCCTTCTTTCATACGAAAATCTGTGAAGGCATTGGTCCCAGAGGACAGAAATAATTGTTCCATGAAATGGGGTATATGGAAAGGAAGAGCAAAACATTAATGGAGGAACAACAAAGGTCTGCTGCTCCTTGCAGGACAGAATGCAGACACAGCCTCTCACAGGCCACACGAACACAGACCTCAGCACTGAGTCAGGCTCCCACCCTGGGGTGGCATCTGGGGCAGAAGCAACTACTTTCACCAACAAAATTCCAGCAGCTTTTCAAGGATGAAGATCACAATCCAGCCTCAGAGTGCACCCCCACCCTGTCCACCAGGAGAGGAACACACCCTAGAAACCATAAACCAGAAGCTTCTGAGTAACCTAGACAATGGGAGGAGGAACATTTGTGAAAACTGTACCTCTCAGCTGCCACTTTTATTAGATTTCAATAACTTCCAAAAACATTTGCTTAATTTACAAGCCAAAACAGGACACAAATCACCTCTAGCACTGCTCACAAAACTGGATACCTGAAGCTCAAGCCGTACCCCTGCAGCTGTGCAGACCATGCCCAGCTCCAGAGGTTCAGGAGCAGCCATGAGCTGGCAAGTCCAGTGAGTACACAGATGCCACATCCTGTCACCAGGGCTGACAGTGATTAAGTATGACTGAGTCTATCAACTAAATAAATAAGACTGAAATGACATGGGACATCTGTTAGCTGGGCTGATACTGGGTACAACACCCTCTTGACTTACAGGAATTGCATGTGCAGACATCATCTCCCCTGGCTGAGGTGACAGACTGCAGCTCAGCTGTGGTTCACCACAACAACCAGCTGTGTGAGTTCCTACACAGCTGCTACGTGAGGGCACAAGAGATGCAGCACTGCTCCTTCTCAGCCATCCTGAGTGGCAGCAACAGCCCTGGCAAGAAACTTCCCTGGTTCATGAACAAGCTTTTGTTGGGACTGACAGAAGCAAAGGACACACCAACACAGCTAAAATGCTTCTGCTGCCGAGATGCCAAGAACAAGGAAGAGAAAGAAGAGACTGTCTGTGCTGCTCTTCACAGGGACACAAGCTAGTCCAACAGCTCTGCGCTGCGCTGGCCAGGACTTGGCTTGTGGCAGGATCTACGGAATTACAGCAAAGAAAATCCACAACTAAGTCAGCAAGAGCAATCAATATATACTGCTGCATTTAATGTTGTGTATTATGCTTATATTTAATTAGCTATTTAATACCCATGATAACTAACCTGACTGGAGGCCAAATCGACACCTTCTAGCCTGGTTTATGTGCACAAAGAGGAAAGATGTTGAAAGGACAGCAATGTCCCTTTGGCACCTTCCAGGACACTGGAAGAGATACACACTAGACATCTCACCTGTTCACACAGTAAGGTAAGGAGAGAGGGGCAGAGAAGTGTGTCAGTAGTGAGTCAAGCACTGAGTGGTTTCTATGGGGATGACAAAGAGAGTCAGGACGAGCTGCAGCAGCTCTGCTCACACCATCAGAAGCACAAAGGCAGGAAAGGCTGATGGATGCTGTGCTATAAAGATGAGGCGTGTGCGCAACACCCAAGAAATCCACCCCAGCACCAGGACACACTTCTTACAGCTCTGTTTTCTCTTCTGCTGCACAGAAACATCAAAACTCATATAGGGCTTAGCAAGTCAATGTCAGCTGGAGCTTCAAAACCTTCCCCTGCACGAGTGACATGACGTGGTCTGCACCACATCCAGTTATCCACCCATCCAGTGAGCCACACTGCCAGGAAATACGTTCCCTTTCTGCAGAGTAACAGTTCCAAGATTTCCGCAATCTAGCATGCAACATGCAGGAAGAGCTCTGATTTCCAGAAAGCATAAGTTACTGACAAGCACCAGAAATCTCACTTCTTCCCACTGAGAAACTGTGTAAAAATACAGCTAAGAAATATGAGAAAAGAAGGTAACAGCCAAGCCCAGGAGAAAGACAAAAATCTACCTGCTCAAGCAGTAACACACTCCTTCAAGCTATGTTAGGATTATAACCAAGCATCTTTCTCTTCTTGTTGTATTTTTAGAACAGCTGTCAGTGACAGCGTCATTAGAAATGGGAGCAAAAATATCACAGAATCTTGCAGACAACTCACAGCTGAAAAACTGCTGCTGGGAATACTCAGACCAGGTTCTTTAAACATCAGACAGCGTGCAGAGAAAATAATACATGTACTTGGTCTGGTTTGCTCCTCATTTGCACACTTAAACCAGGAGCAACAGCATACAAATAAAGGAAACTGCCCTAACATAAACCTACAGGCTTAGAATACTCCACTTTGAATTCAACTTAAGAAAGCACTTGATCTCCATGAAGGGTGACATTCCTGTAGCCCAAATCACAGGAGGTGCTCCTGTCATGGTACTGCTGGGATAGTTAAGGATATGCCAGCCCAAGTTTACAGGATAGCTGCAGTCTCAGCTACATTAAAACCACACAAAGACATAATTCTACCAGCACCAAGACCAACACAGGTACCACTTCAAAGGGAACCCAGAGCCTCGTGGCCAGGGACTGCTGCACCCCTCATCCTACACTAAGGATGCAAAACCAGAGGAAGATGCCAAAGTGCTCAGGCAGTGACATCCCTCTGGGTGTCAGTTTCCTGGGCCAGTCATGTATGCTCATGTCTATTTCTTCAGTGCATTCAACTCCATGATTTGGTTGTTTTCCTCACTACATCTGTCTCCTGATGGTTAACACACACCAGAGCACTGTCTCCAGGCCCTGGATTAGCACAGATTCGGTCTAACAGTGTTGTGGTTACTCACCTAAGGACACAACAGCCACGCTCTCTGGTAAAAAATGGAGCCTGTATTTTATCAGTAAGTGCACCAATATGATGCAGATAGCTGTGAAGGAAACAAAAAGTAGATTCAGAAGCGCTAGGAGAGAATAAAATACACTTTTAAGTAGTATTTCTAAAATATAAACAGCAAAGCTTCTCCTAATGATTTAGTAGACTTTTCTTTGGCAATAAACCACAATCAACCAGTATCAGGGAGCCTGGTACGTTTGGAGCTGTTGGTCTCCTGCGCCTGTGCATAACTGTTTGTGCCTGGCAGTGTGTGACCTGCACCTGCACATGCCAGGGGTGCCATCACCAGGCATGAGTGGTGTGGCCAGGCCAAGGGACACCCAAGTGTCCCTCAGGGGACAGCAGAGTGTGAGCACAGGCCATAAGCAAGGGAAGCCCTGGGTCACATGAAGTGGCAGAACAGAGGTCTGACACTGACAGTGGTGTTTGGATTGACAAACCACAGAAATGTGGGGTCAGGGACTACCTCATGGTGCTTCAGGGACTTTACGTCTGGGCTTGGCTTTGACATGGCACAGCTCAGAATGGACCTGCTTCTGCAGCTGTGTCAGGTTAGAACTTCTCCAAAGGCCATTTTACACCAGGACATGCAGATGTCAGAGTGGGGAACACACATTCACTTCCTCCTTCCAACACCCTCAAAGGAGAGATGCTGAGTGGGAACAGTGATGAGCTTTTACACTGGCTTTACTCTGCCCAGGAACTCCCCCGTCCTGGGGGTGATACTTTTACCACCATTGTCATCAGACTGGCATAAACAGGCTGGATTATGGCCAAACAAATCTTAGCTCTTAAGTCCTAGGAACACAGTTTTACCATGAATGGTCCTCTTAAAACCCATGAGACACACATATGCAGAAACTTTGTCAGTCTTCTGATCTACTGCATTTTGCTTTGGTCCTTCAGTTGTTCAAATCTAATATGCCCCTGACCTCTGGGAACACAATAACCCTCTCTGAAGACAAATGGATACCCCAGAAGAAAGCAGAAGCCTTCCACTTTTTGCTGCACTTCAGAATAGCTATTTACAGAAGACAATGCCTTTTTAAACCCAAATGATTTGCAGAATTTTCCACACTGATGTCAACTCTATTCCTTTTATTTTCTCCATCTACTACTAGAAAAGTAGGCAGTCAGAAGATTGAGTTACCCATCTGCCCCAGAAAAGTCTCTCAGTGCAGCTTGTCTTGGAGGAACCAAGCACAAACACACAAAGAGACAAACCCTTCATCCTCCTGAAAACAGTTACCGGTACAGCTCTGACTACAGCACTGCTCTAAGCAGAAGGTGAGAGACAATTCTGCTAAAGAAAGACAACAGCTCAAACTTATAGAAAAGTCTGGTGTGCATCTGCCATCCAAATGTTGCTACACGCACAACAGTCTTAGCTATGTCACTCTGCATGTTGTCATCACATTCCTGCAGGAATGTCAGAAATTAAGCAGAGCCAGAGAAACAGACACTGAACTTGAGTCCTTGAGCATGTGAATCTGTCTTCTACTGGCTTAAGTACCAAACCCCCTGAGGGCTGTCCAGGAGAGGCAGAAAAGCAGCCAAAGACAATTCAACATGTTGTTTGCACTGAGACCATGGTGGGAAGGTTTGCAGTGCTCCTCAGCCTCCCACAGGGAAAAAAATCTCTGTGCCTGCACACAATTCACAGAGGGAGAACCAGAGAGGAAATACAGTACTATGATTTCGGGTTTACCTATGTCAGAGACAGAGTAACAGAGATTAACAGACTTTCAGTCCATCATTCACCTAAAACAAGAAGACTAAAGAAAATGGTCATGCCACTGGATTGCTCCTCTTGCTGTGCCTGGACCCCAGTCTGAACGGGAAGGATGGGTTTGGGAGGTGTAGGTGCCACCAGCTTGGTCGTAGCAGCCAGAGTGGTGTGGAGGGTGGCATTGAGGACTTCATGGGTGACATTTGCAAACCTGTCAGGATAACAAGATACGTGATTATACTGGATGGGAGCAGCATGACACAGACTTAGCCACCTGAAGACATGCAAACACCAACCACCCACCAGGTCGCTAAGGTCACTGTTTAACTGCTGTCTCTGTTCACCGACAGACACTGGGTGCTCGGACTCAGGGAGCTGATGACTGCTGAGCCTGACACAGAGAGCCTGAGCTAGCCCACCCACGCCGATAAGTGCGATGAACCCGCTGTCGGTCCGAGAGCGCGGCGAGGACCGCGGGCAGAGCTCCCGGCGGGCAGAGCCCATGGCGGGCAGAGCCCCTCGCGGGCA